ATTTCTGGACCTCCACTCTTTGCTGAGCCTCCTCCTCATGCTCTTCCACCCTCCTCACCCTCTGCTCCTTAGCTGGTGATGTAGCCCCTGTACTTCCTTTGCACACCCTTTAGTTCAGGGGGCGCTGGTGAGCTGTCAAGAGACCTGAGTTCCAGGCCTGGACAGCCCTTGCTATGAGGCCTTATACTGTCCCTTCTCCAGGCTGACACTCTTTGTCTCACAGTTCCTTTAGCTCCAGCAAGCCATGTGAGTGGGACTGAAGATTAGAGATCTGCAGAGAGTAGCTCTCCAAAGGAATTGAATGCCAGACTCAGGAGTCAAGCATTCATCCCAAGAGCCATGGGGAGCCACTGCATGGGGAGAAGAGCAGTTCTGCTTTGGCATGTTAGAAATATCACTCCACCTGCGGTTTGGAACCTGGATTGTAGGGGTCTTCGAGTGGATGCGGAGGGAGGGGGTTGGTACAGTTGTCCAGGTGAGGGGTAGGAGTGACACAGAGTGACACAGTGACACAGTGACACAGGCAGAGGATACAGAGAGGGGATGGCATCTAGAAACATAACCGAAGCAGAATAACTGTGACTCAGTGACTGTCATAGTTGGGTTTCTCCGGAACCATGCCCAACACAAGCATTCAAGTGCAACTACTTCATTTGAGAACAAGCAGCACACCGTGTGTGTGCGCGTGTGTGTGTGTGTGTGTGCATGTGCATGTGTGTGTCAGGGGCAGGGCAAGATAAGGCAGGGAAGGGGAGGCAGCCAATGAAGGAAGCATTATCAAGCAAGTGACCACTGTAGGCAACTCAGCTCAGTCCTACTGGGCAGCTCCAGGAGTCCATGTAGATCCCATTGCTCAGTTGTCCCCCATGAGGGGTGGAAGACCTGGGGTATTTACGTACCAACTCCAGGTGGAGGATTGTTAATTATCTGGCAGTTCCTGCCAGCCAAGCCAGGTGTGAGCAGAGTAGGCTCCAGCTGCTAGAGAAAGCTCCCTCACCCCAAGGGATGTGCAGATGCAGATAGCTGGAAGTCAGCCTATTAGGCACCATAGTTATGAGCCTACAGGAGCTATAAGCAGGAGCTATAGCTATAAGCTATAACCAAATGGGAGGCTGAACAATGTCAGTCCTGCTTTTGTTAAAAACACAGAAATCTAACTCAGACTTAAGCAAAGTGTCTCTTGACTCTCATATCTGAGACATCAGGCGAGATCTTGATGAAGGATTCCACTCTGACACTCTGCCAAGCATAGCAGTCCCAAGAGAAAGGAGGGTGACTTTTTTCCAAGAGTTCAACCATAATCCCAGGGCCAACTCTCATTGGCTAGTGAAGATCTGTTTTCACCTCTGAGCCAATCAGTACTCAGGGAGGGACGCAGGGCTCTGATTGGCCAAGCCTCAGCCATGTGTCCACCCCTGGGTTTCTGGGATAGGACTGGCTCCATGTAGACTACAGGAACTGAGACTGAGGCAGAATCCTTTTCCAGGCACAGTGGGGCTATTACTAGGGGAAGGACCTGGAAGATCAGGAGAGGGAAGAATTCAAGGAGATGCCCAGGTGTCTGGCTTGAGCCCCTGCTGGGTGACACTGAAGCATTTTACTGATGTGGCGATACTATGGGCCTACTCATGAACCTGGGATGCACCAGCATTTAAGATGTAAATATACAGGGCCTCAAAAGTCAGAGGAAGAGACTCTCTTAACAATGAGGGCACAGTCACAGGAAGCAAAGCAGTTGGGAGGTCACTTGTGATCATTAGTGTCTAGCTGGTCTCTGGAGGTCTCCCTGAGGATGGCAGCCCCACTCTCCCTCCTGTAATCCCAGAAGCACCTCCAAGGCAGAGACCTGTCTAACTCCTTCCCCCATAAGCCAGGCAAGGGGCGTCATCCGTCAAGACCACCAGAACTTGAGGCAGGATTTGTCCCCCAGGGAACAGCATGTGCCTGCACTTCACAGTTCACCAAGTACTTGCCCACACTTTCTCTTGCCTCCTCCCTGTGACCCTATTTGGCAGAGGCACAGTCTGAGGCTTAGGGAGGTGGCCATGGCCCCAGGCTCACATGGTCTTGGCGCAACCCTGGATTCCTGGGGTCAGGAGTACCTGTGATGTCAAACTGATGGCAGCTCCTCCCTCGGAGGGCTGGAGAAGGTGCCCTGGGCTGGGGAAACTGAATGAAGTATTTGCTTCTGGGGCAGGGCCTGCAGCTGTCTTCTGCTCCTGGTAACCAGTCCTCTCCACCTACAGCATTTCTAGGGAGTCAGGCCCCTGCCGAGTGAGTGGGGCTGTGTTTGCAAACTGGTGTGTTTTCAGTATGGCTGGCCTTGCTTGAGTGGGCATCAAGGCATATTGCTGCATAAACAGTTCTCTAGCAGGAGTGCCAAGAGGCTGGCCCCTGAGCCCAGAGAGTACTGTGGCCTCAAGTGGATTTGAGGTGGCCACGAAAAGTCTGGGGAGCAGGAGGGATGTGGGGGTGGTTTTGTATTTGCCTGAAATTGTCTTCAAGAAGAGGTTCACCCAGAGGGAGCTGAGGGGGATCCTTGACTATACAGGACACTGATAGGGTAACTGAAGTCTGAGTTACCTATTTCACCTTAACTAGAACTTTCTCTCCCAGCCTCAGTTTCCCCATCTGTAAAATGGCGATAATGGTTCCCCACCTCGTATGGCTGTCGTGAGGATATGGTGTAAAGATAAAGGTGTCAGTCAGCAGACTTCCTCTCCAGGCCGGGGATAAACGCTCTGACAAACCTCCTGGTGGAAGCAGAAATGGTTCTGAGGGGCTGCTCAGCCACGAGGACTGTCACCAAAGTGCTCTGGACTCCAGGAGTGGGGTCCATCAGGCTCCTAGGGGCAAGAAGAGTCTCTGGAAGAGAAAGGGGAGAATTCAAGCCAGGTAGACTCTGCAGCAGTCGCAGGGGAAGGCCTAGGACAGCCCTTGCTATGAGCTGTTGGTCATTAAATTGGCTAGATCCAAGGAAATATCAGGGGAAGGCCTAGGGCACTGTTGGTCATTAAATTGGCTAGATCCAAGGAAATAATTCTCAGATCCTTAGGCATCTTAAGGCCAGCCAGATCGGGGTAACAGTTGCAGGACAGCTACGTGTAGAAATAGGAAGAGCCTGGGCCCCAGTCCTGCCTCAGCCACTGGACCTCAGCCACTGTGTGATCTTGGGGAAGTTCCTCCCCTCGAAGGGTCCCAGGCTCCCCTTCAATAAGATGGGGGTTTCACCTTGGCCAGTGTTTTTCACACAGTGTTCTTTGGGACCTGGGATTTGCCTTCAGAGCTGCTCTGAGAGGTGAGAGGGGGTCTGGGACACCCAAACCCGTGCTTGGTGTGTTCGTTTTCTATTGCCGCTATAACAAATCACCACAAATGTAGTGGCTTAAAACAATACAGATTTATTATCTTATGGTTCTAAAGGTCAAAAGTCCAAAATGGGTCGCAGAGCTGCATTCTTTCTGGAGGCTCTTGGGGAGAATCTGACTACTTGCCTCTTCCAGTTTCTAAAGGCTGCCCCATCCCTGGGCTCATGATCCCGCATCTCCGCTCTCTGCTCTCTGCCCCCTCGACCATATCTCCTCTGACTCTGACCCGCATGCCTCCTTCTTATAAGGACTCATGTGATTAGGTTGTACCTCTCCAGATAATCCAGGATGATCTCCCCATCTCAAGATCCTTAATCACATTTGCAAAGTCCCTTTTAACATGTAAAGTAACATAACCACAGATTCTGGGGATTAGGACATGGGCACCTTTGGGAGGCCTCATTCTGCCACACTTGGCTTCAGGCAGCAGTCTGTTCACTCTGACCTGGCCCAGCCCCTCCGAGAGTGCTCCTCCCACTGCCCTTGCCCTCACGTGCTCTGTTCCAGCCACGCTGATCCTCAGCACACCAGGCACAGGTCAGACCAAGCCTCGGAACTCTTCTGAGCAGGGCCGGTGGGGTTCAGGACTTAGAAACCTTACTGGTGGAGATAGGAAGACTGAGACCCAGAAAGGGAAGAGACTTGCCTAAGTGTGAGCCTAGTATTTCCAGGATGGTCCTGTCTGAAAGACCCAACTAGCCCAGCTGCCCCCATTTTACAGATAGAGAAGCTGAGGCATAGTGGCCTCTCCTGAGGCCTTGCCCTCTTCACCCAGTCCTGAGCCTATGCCCCTGTACTGACTCTGGGAACCTTGTTCCAGCCTGGCCATCACTGATTCATACCAGTTCGGAAATGATGGGCTAATGGGCTTGTTGGCCTCTCTGATGTCTGCAAGCCCCCAGTGTCTAGCTCAGAGGTCACACTTGGTAGACTTCTTGAGGACAGAGCAAGTTTTTATAGAGGATCTCCATTCAATGTAAGGATTCCTCTGCTGAAATAGAACTGAGCAGTATTTCCCTCAGACCCAGGTAAGAGGGGCCCCTGCCCTGGCCCTACTCTTTAGAAGACCTCACTGTCCTCTTTCAACCATGGGTGGCCTACACTGCCAGTGAGACCATCCCTTGGGGGCATGTGAAGTGAGCCTGGGGTGTATGTGTGTGTACAGCTCCGTGTGGGGAGGGACAGAGTCAGAGATAGGAGGAACGTGGAAAGCAGGCAGCTCCCCCCACCACATTCCACCACGGAATTCGGAGGAGACCAAGAAGCCTGAGTTTAAACCTGGCCTTCTGGGTTATTATGAAGATATATTCATTAAAGGAGGAGAGCTGACCCTATTTTGTTTAACAGTGTGCTGGCCTGAGTCGTAACGTTTATCCATACGTCTTATAGGCAGACAGACCTCCATTTGTACTCTTGTCCTCTGCCCCTCAATGCTAAGGGCAGATCGGGAGTCGTCAGAAATCCTCCCACCCCTGAGATCTGTGGGGATCTGGTTGACCTTCCTGGCACCCTGTCCCCCACCCTCACATCCAGCTGACGCTTCTGTCTTCTCTCCTCAGGATAGCTGCTGCCCGGGAGAGGCGACCCGGGCACCCCACTAGGGCAACGGCCCCTGCCTCAAGGGCCAGGATCATGAAAGGCCTCGGTGACAGCCGTCCCCGCCACCTCTCTGACAGCCTGGACCCACCACACGAGCCCCTGTTTGCAGGGCCTGACCGCAACCCCTACCTGCTGTCGCCCACGGAGGCCTTCGCCCGCGAGGCTCGCTTCCCTGGACAGAATACTCTGCCAGGGGATGGTCTCTTCCCACTCAACAACCAGCTGCCACCACCGAGCAGTACTTTCCCCCGCATCCACTATAACTCCCACTTCGAGGTGCCAGAGGAGAGCCCCTTCCCCAGCCATGCCCAAGCCACCAAGATCAACCGACTGCCTGCCAACCTCCTGGACCAGTTTGAGAAGCAGCTGCCCATCCACCGCGATGGCTTCAGCACGCTCCAGTTCCCTCGCGGCGAGGCCAAGGCCCGTGGTGAGAGTCCCGGCCGTATCCGCCACCTGGTCCACTCAGTCCAGCGGCTCTTCTTCACCAAGGCACCCTCACTGGAGGGCACAGCAGGCAAGATCGGTGGCAATGGCAGCAAGAAAGGTGGCCTGGAGGACGGCAAGGGCCGGAGGGCCAAGAGCAAGGAGCGGGCCAAGGCTGGGGAGCCCAAACGGCGCAGCCGCTCCAACATCTCGGGCTGGTGGAGCTCCGACGACAACTTGGACGGCGAGGGCGGTCCCTTCCGCAGCAGTGGGCCAGCCTCCGGGCTGATGACGCTAGGCCGCCAGGCAGAACGCAGCCAGCCACGTTACTTCATGCACGCCTACAACACCATCAGCGGGCACATGCTCAAAGCCTCCAAGAACAATACCACTGAGCTGACTGCCCCGCCACCCCCACCCGCACCCCCAGCCTCCTGCCCCAGCCTTGGCGTGGGCACCGACACCAACTATGTCAAGCGGGGCTCCTGGTCCACTCTGACCCTCAGCCATGCCCACGAGGTCTGCCAGAAGACTTCAGCCACCTTGGATAAGAGCATGCTAAAGTCCAAATCCTGCCACCAGGGTCTAGCCTACCACTACCTACAGGTTGGTCCCTGCCAGGGTCAGGGTGGCACGAGGGCTGTGGGGAAGGCACCAGTTGTGAGGCCCATCTGCACCACAGCTTCACTTGGAAAGTTGCTTTACTCGGGCCTCTCTTTACTCGCCTCAGAAATGGGGGGCCGGTGGAACCTGCTAATAACGGGATTCTTTCCACTGGCTGTGCTCTCAGGAGACATTCATATCTGAGACCATGCCTGAGTAGAGGCTAAAACATGTCCCTGCCCTTTAGAAGACAAATCTGGAAGCTGTGCCATCCACCCCCCTCACAGGACCAATTTCATGGCATTCTAATGGCCGGCCTCCTGCCTGCTACTCCCACCAGCCTGGAGGCTCCTTGAGGACAGGGACCATATCTGATGCAGTTGTGTGTCCCCAAGGCCCAAGACAGGGTCTAGCATAGAGGAAATGCTTAGGAAATGTGATAAGGGAGAGGGACAGATGAACAGATGGACACTTAAATGAACAGAGCTAGAAATAAGTAAAATAGAACCCTGATTATCAGGATGCTGGGAGAGAGACATACAAACAGTCACGTCAGTGTGAGCAGAATGTGCTGGAGATGAGCATGGAGGGCTGCAGGAGCCCAGAGGCCCTAACTCAGTTTGGGGGACTAACTTTCTCCTTTCAAATGCTAATGTCTATTGAAGCACTTATTATGCACCAAGGCCACACTCAAGGAAAGTGGCAGAAGGCTCAGATGTCTCTGTTGCTATGCATCCCCCAGGTTTCTCAAGGACAAGGAGAGTGGCTGTGAACTGGGTGGCTCCCAGAAGCAGAGTGCAAGCTGTGGGTAAAAGTTACAGGAAGCAGATTTCACTACACGTCAAGAAGGAAGGGGCTGCTTCTGTAGATAGTGAGAACCTCATCCTGGGGCAGCGGGGGTGGG